TAAAGAGAGTTAAACCTATGACCTCTTCCTAGGGACTAAACCCTTGGAAAAGTCATGGGTGTCACAATCCAAACCCGCCCCTAACAGCTTAGCATCGTAATCGGCCAATAATCCGAGATTACCAAAGGCCTTCCTGTACAATCAAAAATAATAGGGGCTAGCGGAAGCAGTATACAAAAATACCAATGGTCCAATGAGCTGTGCATCTATATGACCAATCATGTACACATATAAACATTAATTTACCCACAAAACAATACATAACTTATAACTTAACATCTTATACATAACATATGTACATAACAAAAGTGTACTTCACTATCAAAAGCTTGACAACGGCCTTTCAGGCCCAACCCCAACTCAGAGGCACTCAAAATAACTCAGTACGCTTCAGAACGGTGGCTCGGCTAAAGACCCCTTCTATACTTGTCCTCCAGAACACTCACCTATATGTATATATAAAAACAGTGAGCTAAAACCCAATAAATAACATTAAACTAAAGAGGTTAGTGAACGAATTCCAAATATATCATATCCGTAAAACAATTCATGACACAATCATTCATATTAGTCTCATATCAAAACATAACATAATGGTACATCCCACAGAACATATCACATATCGTCTTCCGACTAGAGTAATCGGTTCCAGATACCAATTAAACACATATCACCACAATGAAGTGGCTAACGAGATCTCATATCACATATATGTCATGGATCCGTATTTACATGGCGTCCCCCATGACTTGGGACTATCTGTGGATGTCATAATAGATTCGCAAACAGGACATTCGTTCACATAATCAGAATAGCATTTCCAAAATTATAACCTATTGGTAATAGGTAAAACATAATTCATATCAACATATCTTTACAGAAATGTTACTCACAGTGGGCTCCCTGTCGTGGTTGGTTGGTCTTGACTTGTGACCTACATTGACAATGCACATAACACAACACACATTTATTATAACACATTCGACTTACCTTTTGATTCTGATATCATTACCATTCGTTTCATATTCGTTCTGTTATTTCTCTTCTTTCTTTAATCTTTCTCATGTTTATGATATGCATATGGATGTGTGTTACATGTGAAAACCATGTAAATGAAGGCCCAAAAGTCAGAAAATTGAAAGAAAACAAAATCGGAAAAACTGTCCTGTTTGGCCGAACGTGCGGTGACCTAGGCCGCACGAGCTATTGAACTTCATAATCTAATTTTGCCCAAAACAAGGGTTGTTCACTCGAGCGGTGGCCTAGGCCGCTCGAGCAGTCTGGTTACATTTTCAGTCCGAAAATCTACCTTGAAACGAAACTTAATCGTTTGCAAAATCAACTTCATTTTCATGCAATTCAAGGCTCAAAACTCATGAAACCATGGTGAATGATCAATTTCTAGCTTCAAACTAAATAATAGTTTCAAATCTAACTAAAGTTCCATGTAGAACAAAGCAAACACTTGAATTGAAATGTAAATCCTCAAAACTTGCATTCTTGAGTTGCAAACGCTCAACTCCTATGGAGATTCATTTCCACTTTAAAATTGATGCAAGAAAACAAATGATTAAACATGAAAATGCCATGAATGATTACAATTCCTCTCTTTAAACTCATGTGAGTTCTAAATAACAATTCACACTACTCAACTCTTTAAGTCCACTTAGCTTCAAGAGATTAGAGATGGATTCTCACCTTAGGTGGTTGATTTGATGAAGATTTGGCTAAAAATCCCTTTTGATCTTCTTCTTCCTCTTCCTTTCTTCTCTTAGTCTCTAGAAGTCTCTTTCTCAAATTTTTATTTTCTGTTGAGTCTAACACTAAGGCTCATATATATCTATCTTTATTTAAGTGTAATGATGAGCCAAACACAACTTAGCGAATTAGACGAAATCAATTTTCAATTAAACTTCCCAAATGGAGCTAAAAATTCCTATTAGCATATCCATATACTCCATTCCGTTTTCTGAACCCATTAAGGTCGTCAATTTCAGTTCCAAAGTTGTAGCTCCAACATATATTTTTCCAATTTAGAAAGATATTCTCAAATTAATTTATATTAACGCATAATTAAATAAAGATAAATGTGACACATATTTTGGGGCCGTTACAATGGGGGTTTTTACCAGCCAGTCCCAATAATTGAATCTATTACCTATTAGGTCCTAAGTGTCTATCTTATGCATCGGGAAGTCCTGTTATATTTTTTTTATCCTGGTTTTACCCCTGCTGTTATGCTTCATGCATTTGGTTTTAATTATGTGGTTCTATTTAATTCTCTCTCTCTCTCTCTCTCTCTCTCTCTCTCTCTCTCTCTCTCTCTCTCCCTCCCTCCCCTCGAAGGATCTGGGTTTTGAAAAGGGAGGCAACGAAAGATTTGGGTATAGAGATTGTAATTGATGTAAGAAGGTATTTCATGCACTGTTGTGTTGCAAGAGCTATTAATTGCGCCACTGTAATGTTGGGCGGAGATGAAGGGGTCACGACATCGAAGGCAATGAAGAAGGTTGTTTGTTGGTGTTGGTGAATATCAGAGCTGCCTCTGTGGCCCTTGGCTTTAAGAGATGGTGTTAGATCTGAGAGAGATCAAGAAAATCGACATGAACGGAGATGGGTGTGTCAACATTGACAAGTTCGAAGCTCTGTACCAGTTAATAATAGACGAGCGAGACGAAAAAGAAGACATGAGAGAGGCGTTCAGGGTGTTAGATCAGAATGGTGATGGGTTCATCTAGGTATTTTCAATACCGATCAGAGCTCTTATCTCGTTTAAACTAGTGATAAATTTATCAATAAATTTGTTGAATATGTTTGTTTTTGTATAAAACTTGATAAACTAAACAGTGATAAATTTATTATTTGTAATGGTAATTTTCCTTTTGTAATTTTTTTTACAAACAGTGAGTGATAAATTTATCATTGAATCTAACATTGTCGTTGCCACCATCTTCCTCCATAAATTTATCATTTGTAATGGTGATGATTAAAATTTCCTTCTGTATTTATTTATTTATTTATTTTATTTTTTGCAAACAGTCAGTGATAAATTTATCACTGAATGTATCTCTGATTCTTGTGTTGGTTTATAATGGTAATTGCTTGATTTTCCTTCTGTAATTTTTTTAAAAAACAAACAGTGATAAATTTATCACTGAATCTGATTTTTGATTCTTTATCTTGATCTATGAATGTGAAAAATAATGAGAACTATCTTCTGGCAATGGCTTCTCGTCTCTCTCCTTCATTATCTTCATCATTTTTCTTCTCATTTTCTTTTGTTGGCACGTACTTGAGATGAAAAATGGATTTAAAAAAATTGTTGGAGGTCGAAGAATAGTAGCAATAGTGGAGGGCGCCAAAGGTGATCATCAGAAGTCGCCAAAGGTTATCGTCGACAATCAGGCAATGGCTGGAAGGGGCAATGGTGGGTCGTGGCAGCGACATGTACACAAAGTAGAGAAGTCAAACGTGTGGGCTATCAGGGGTATAAAATGGGATGGTGGGCTAAATTATTTTGGAACAGGATCTCATAGGTATTAGCTAACTAGTCTACGCCTAATTGGTTATGTAATTTTATTGTTGTATAAAAAGAGTAGTTAAAAATTTTGGTAGCTTTTGGTAGAGTTTTGGAATTATGATTTGAGAATAGAGTTGTATTTTGAGTTTGTGAGTTTTGGAATTATGATTTGAGTGTGGAATATTTGTTTGGTTATGAGTTTTGAAAAAAGTTTTGAATTGAGTTTGAAATTTTTGATATGACATATGATGTTTTATTTAAAAACTTACAACTCATAACCAAACATACAACTCAAAATTTTATTCAAACCTCATAAAAAAAATTTAAAAATTTTGAAAATATTTATAAAAAATAAAAATAAAAACTGCTATGGTCAACCGGCCGTACATCCAAGAGGATGACCAGGTACACGTGTTTTCAAAAGTGGGTGTGGAATCACGTTTCCAGAACTCAAACCAAACACAATGTTCAAACTAAGGACTGGAATCACATTTCTAGAGCTCCACCAAATAGAGCCTTTATTTTTCTTGTTATAATTCTGTTAAATAAAACTTTTTGACGAGATGGTATTTGTAATTTCCAGAACCATAAGAAGTAATCCGTATTTTAAGTAAATCTCAAGTTGTGTATTTGTAACTTATCCATATTAATTTTACACCTAAACTATTTAATTTTGAATCAATATTGTCCCAACATCAACTTTCGTCTATAATGGAACAAAAATCCTTGGTGTTGCACCAAAACTTCATTTGAAACTTCAAATTTATTTTTATTTATTTATTTTTTAACTAATTGACAAAAGTGACAGTAGCAGTAATTTGTGGTCCAAACCAAGCATATTTCTTGAGAGGAAAATGCTCACCATGAGAAACCAAACCAATTAACCAGCTGATATAAATCCATCATGTAATGTAATGGTGTACCTTTCCATGCAACTTCTAGGAAGGAGAACCCCCCTCGTCTCCAGCTCCAAACCCTATCAGCAAAATGCTGGCACAGCAACAACAACAATAAACCTTTGCCCTCTTTATCTGCACCTATGTTGGCATCATCTCCATCTTCACCTCTTTCCCCACACCCAACTCTCTTCTTCATGTTCCCATCTCCTCCAATCCCCCCACCCTCTATTTAAATCCCTCCCTTTTCAATCCACTTCTATCTCACCCTCCTATCTATCTATCTATCTACCACATTATCATACCTTTTTTTTAAAACTACTACTCTATGAATTTTCATACAGAATAGTTTACTATAGATTGCTTGATGCATTAGTGGCAGGCCTTGTTTGGGAACCTCCATTTTAGCAAAAAAGTCAAAAAATTACTAAATTAGCCAAAAAGCCAACAACCCATACTAAAAAGTCAAAGATTTTCTTTTCTCTCTACTTTTTGCACATCTTTTCGTAAAAAGCCAAAAAATCATCCCAAACATACTTGTTTTTTTTTTCTCATATTTTAGCCAAATAGCCAAAAAGTTACTAAATTAGCCTGTTCCCAAACGAGGCCAAGGCGTACTTTGGTAAAAAAAAAAAATTATATATATATTTTTTAAGTGATAGGCTTACAGTTCACATCAAATTGTATTTTGTACATATGACATTATCATAGTTTTTTTGGAAGGAGTATTGTTGTACAACAGAAATTTTATACCCAAAAAAAAGGGGTTGATTACAGTTTTCACCCTATAATTTGATCTAAATTTCACTTTAATCTATATTATTTTATTTCAAACAATTGCGCCCCTATAATTTAAGTCTTGTTTCAATTTGGTACACCCATTTAAATTTCTGTTAATTTTGTCTATGTGTACACTTTACAAAATTAATGTGTCCCAAAATTATTAATTTCAACTTTCAATTTGAATGTAATGGGTAAATTGAAATTACACTTAAAGTGTAGGGATCAAATTACTCAATTTGAAACCATAAAGATTAAAGCAAAATTGAAATCAAACTATATGAACGAAAAGTATAATTATCCAAAAAAAGATTATACTTTAGATTTTCTCACTTTAAAATTAAAAGTCTATCGAAAAAATGATTTCTATTTTTAAAATATAGTTCTCATATCATTCTAGTTATAAATTCTGTCTAAAAATTTTGTTTCTAAATTATTTCTTTTGTCCTTTGTTATATAGGTTTGCTTAGAGTTAGCAATGGCAACAAAACCCGGGGTCGTGTTTGAGGATTTTTTTCCATCCATGGTAGAGAAAATGGGAGCGGAAGGATTCATGAACGAGCTCTGTAACGGGTTTCGCTTGCTAATGGACGGTGACAAGGGAGTCATCACATTTGAGAGCTTGAAGAAGAACTCAGCAGTGCTAGGGTTGCAGAACATGAGCGACGACGAGCTCATATGTATGCTGAGAGAAGGCGATTTGGACGGTGATGGGAGTCTGAATCAGATGGAGTTTTGTGTTCTTATGTTTAGACTTAGCCCGGAATTGATGAAAGGTTCAAGAAGGTGGATTGAAGAAGTTGTGATGAATGAGTTATAGGATTCTCTCTGTCTCTCTCTCTCTCTCTACTTCTTAGGCCACCTTTGTTTGTTTCTTAACTATTTTGTATCTGTTTTTCTAGGTTTTCATGAAATGATGATTCTTCAATGCATCCTAGTTTTGTTATGTAAATGCATTCTCTTTTAAAGTTTTGGCTTTGAATCTCAAGTTTCATTTTTTTTTTCTAAACATTGGAGGGCGTAACTTAGAAAATAAGACGTGACAAGATTTAAATTTTTGATCATCGAACATTTGCTAGCATTAATATGAAAAGAAAAATGTTGAACATAAACTTAAATAATTGTAACAAAAATTCATATGGAATCACGTTAGCACTTTTTTTTTTCCCTGAGTAATACTACATATCTAAAGCTACATTTAAAAAGAAAAATTAAAAAAAAAAAAAAATAGAGCAATTATTCAGTGTTTATGGTCATAGTCAGGTGGAGCCATAATATGGCTGCCATCATTAGTGAATCTTGTAGGATTCATCAGTTTATATTGGTGATCAATAAGTAACATGGGATGACATTTTGATATTAGTTTGTGACATAGCCACGTTGTGATCATGTGGGGTAAAAAAAATTCAAATAGTATCTCAAAATTAAAATATTGAATAAATTAAAAATACATCTCTTGAAATTTGCTTAAAATACAAATTGCCTTTTGTAATTTGAAAAACTACAAATACCACCTTATTAGAATTTTTTATTTAATAGAATTAATTGAAAAAATAAAATTCATAATTACTATCTTATATAATAACAAAATTACCTAAATTATTAATTGAAACATATTTTTAACATCATTAAAAACTGTTAATTGACTTGATGATTTATCAATAAAAATGGCGATTTGTTATCAAATTATAAACCTCAGGGGGTGGAATGTAATTTTCAAAACTACAGGAGACGATTTATATTTTAATTAAACCTCAAAGAGTGTATTTATAATTTACCCTAAAATGTTTAGATAACATTATTGTGTGTGTGACCCACACTACAATATATACTCTACGGAAAGGGGAAAATAAAGAGTTTATGGAGAACTTCAATTATCAAAGTATATGAAAAGATGGCTTTTGGTGAGCTCAAAAGCAGTTTGGTCCAGATGTTTAGCCAGATGTCTATAAAAATAATGAACTAGGAGTATTTGTTTTCCATATTTTTACCAGATAGAGTTTTGCAGGGTTGATTAAACCCCCCAGCGAGTTTTCATGAGCAGCCTGTTCCAACATGTGTCTGGCTTGGGCTAGATTAGCCTGTTGGGCTATAAAATGAGAGAGAGATTTGTTTTAAGAGCATCTGAAATTTAAACTTTGTGTCAAATTTGACACTAGTTATGGCAATTGCCAAATTTGCAAACTTGCACTACTATCAATGTTTTTTCATATTACCCCCTTTTTTTTTAATTTTTAGATACCTAAAAAATAAAATATTTGTGAAGGAATCTAAAAAAAAAAAAAAAAGATTCACTAAAAAAAATTTTTTTTGGGTTTTTGTTGTTAGTGAATTCTTTTAAGGTTTTTTTCATAAATGTATTACTTTTAGGTGTATCTAGATTAGATGCATCTAAATTTACACCAAAATCCCTTCAACTATTAACGAATATAATTTATCCCCCACATTTATGAATCATTTATGAATGTATTTACCCCCCCCCCCAAATTTATAAAAATCACCGCAGGAAATTACACTTCCGACAACTAAAAATGCCGACTAAAAAAAATTTAGTGGCCAAATGTACACGCATTAGCTACTAAAAAAATTTAGTAGGCAAAGCGGTGTTTGGAAAGGATTTTTTGGTTTTTTTTGGGTTTTTTCACTAAAAGACAAATTGGTTACAAAACCAAAAAAAAATAAACCCAAACAAAATATCACATCAAATCCCATAATTATTTTATTTTTTTTCTCACAAATATCACATCAAACCACAAAAAAAATCCAACTATCTTCTCAAACACAAAAAAAAAAATTCTCCAATAATATCCTACAACTAAAAAAACCTACAAAAAAACTCACTTCCCATACATCCACAAAGATACAATCTTTGGCTACTAAAAATATTTGATCGGTAAAGATAGCTACTAAAAATAAATTTAGTCGGTATTTATTTTACTTTCGATGACTAATAGCGTGTTTGTCAAAAATATGATTTTGGTCGACTAAAAAATAATTTGGTCCTTAATTGTACAATCTTTAGCTACTAAAAATAATTTAGTCAGTATTTTTTCACTTTTAGAGCCTAATTGTGTTTTTGTAATTTGGTTCTTAAATGTACAATCTTTAACTACTTTCTCTGTCCCAAAATAGTAGTCCCCTATTTTATTTTTCATTGTCCCAAAATATTAGTCCATTTTCCAAAATCAATGACTAAAATAATTTGAATTTCTTATTTTGTCTTTCTTTTAAATTCATTAACAACACAAAAAGTACAATTATAACAATTAATATTCTCTTAAAAAAATGTACTATTAGAGGTTAATTTTGGAAAAATCAATATTAATTTTCAAAATACAATAAGTGCACTATCAAAAAAAAGTTAGATTTTCTAAAAAAGATTATTATTTTGGAACGGACGAAGTACTAAAAATAATTTAGTCAATATTTTTATTCTACTTTTAACGACTAAAATTTAGTAGCAAATTGTAATTTAAAAGTTTTGAAGGGAGGATTATATTTTTTGAGGGATTCCTAAACAAATTAGGGGTGAAAATTTTTAGTTTGTCGGGAAAAAAATAAAAATTAAAAATAAATAAATAAATAAAATAAAAACAGATTTTTTTCTTATTGGCAGCTAATAAGAAATGGTGGGGGGGAAAATAAACTAAGGAAACAAAACTAATATCTATACTATATATATAACCAAATGTAGTGATTTCTTAAAAAATTTCAAATCCTCAATCCTAATACCTTATTAAACTTTTTCCTATGTGGCATATCTATTCTTCTCTCATTCTATTTTTCTATTTTTTTCCCTCTTTTTTAATATATTTTAGTTCACTTTTTAATTAAGGGTATGGATATATAATATCATATGGATATAATTTTTTCAAAATATTTATAGATAAAAGATGAGTTTGACTCTAATTTAAATTCCTTCATCAAATTTATATCCTACTCAAAGATATTTCAAAAAAAAATTAATTAATTAATTAAACTATAAATTTCAAAACCGTACTTCCATGACAATATGAAATTGGGCAAAAATACCAAATGTAGTGATCTCTTAAAAACTCCAAATTCTCAATCCTAACATTTCATTAAACTCTTTCCTAGATGGCACATCTATTATTCTCTCATTCTATTTTCCTATTTTTTCCCTCTTTTTTAATATATTTTATTTCACTTTTTAATTACTTAGGGCATGGATATATATAATATCGTATGGATAGGATTTTTTCAAAATATTTATAGATAAAAGATGAGTTTAACTCTAATTCAAATTCCTTCATCAAATTTATATCCTACTCAAAGATATTTCAAAAAAAAACCTTACTTCCATGACAATATGAAATTGGGCAAAAATATTGGAGAGCTTTATCTCTTAAAAACTCCAAATTCTCAATCCTAACATTTCATTAAACTCTTTCCTAGATGGCACATCTATTATTCTCTCATTCTATTTTCCTATTTTTTCCCTCTTTTTTAATATATTTTATTTCACTTTTTAATTACTTAGGGCATGGATATATATAATATCGTATGGATAGGATTTTTTCAAAATATTTATAGATAAAAGATGAGTTTAACTCTAATTCAAATTCCTTCATCAAATTTATATCCTACTCAAAGATATTTCAAAAAAAAACCTTACTTCCATGACAATATGAAATTGGGCAAAAATACCAAATGTAGTGATCTCTTAAAAACTCCAAATTCTCAATCCTAACATTTCATTAAACTCTTTCCTAGATGGCACATCTATTATTCTCTCATTCTATTTTCCTATTTTTTCCCTCTTTTTTAATATATTTTATTTCACTTTTTAATTACTTAGGGCATGGATATATATAATATCGTATGGATAGGATTTTTTCAAAATATTTATAGATAAAAGATGAGTTTAACTCTAATTCAAATTCCTTCATCAAATTTATATCCTACTCAAAGATATTTCAAAAAAAAACCTTACTTCCATGACAATATGAAATTGGGCAAAAATATTGGAGAGCTTTTGTGATGCAATTTGAGTTCACCCATCTATCTATACTATATATATAACCAAATGTAGTGATTTCTTAAAAAATTTCAAATCCTCAATCCTACTACCTTATTAAACTTTTTCCTAGGTGGCATATCTATTCTTCTCTCATTCTATTTTTCTATTTTTTTCCCTCTTTTTTAATATATTTTAGTTCACTTTTTAATTAAGGGTATGGATATATAATATCATATGGATATAATTTTTTCAAAATATTTATAGATAAAAGATGAGTTTGACTCTAATTTAAATTCCTTCATCAAATTTATATCCTACTCAAAGATATTTCAAAAAAAAATTAATTAATTAATTAAACTATAAATTTCAAAACCGTACTTCCATGACAATATGAAATTGGGCAAAAATACCAAATGTAGTGATCTCTTAAAAACTCCAAATTCTCAATCCTAACATTTCATTAAACTCTTTCCTAGATGGCACATCTATTATTCTCTCATTCTATTTTCCTATTTTTTCCCTCTTTTTTAATATATTTTATTTCACTTTTTAAAAAAATAAAATTCATAATTACTATCTTATATAATAACAAAATTACCTAAATTATTAATTGAAACATATTTTTAGCATCATTAAAAACTGTTAATTGACTTGATGATTTATCAATAAAAATGGCGATTTGTTATCAAATTATAAACCTCAGGGGATGGAATGTAATTTTCAAAACTACAGGAGGCGATTTATATTTTAATTAAACCTCAAAGAGTGTATTTATAATTTACCCTAAAATGTTCAGATAACATTATTGTGTGTGTGACCCACACTACAATATATACTCTACGGAAAGGGGAAAATAAAGTAGCGCAGTGATTGAGGGCCCGACGTTTTCGGGGCTCGAATGCCCCGAAATTCCGTTTAAGGTAAAAAAAAAAAAAAAAAAAAAGAAAAAAAAAAGGAAAAAAGAAAGAAAA